CCTGGGGACTGAAGGGTCCCAGGTTCGATTCCAGCCAAGGGCACATGCCTGGGTTGCGGGCTCAATCCCCAGTAGGGGACGTGCAGGAGGCAGCCAATCAATGATTCTCTTTTATCATTGATATTTCTCTCTCTCCCTCTTCCTCTCTGAAATCAATAAAGAAATATATATTTTTAAAAAAAATAAGATAAGGCCAAGGTGGTGAGCCAAATGAACAAGGTACAGACCGTGGGGAGGGAGATGAGGTCAGGGAGGCCGTGGGGGCAGATCACGCAGAAACTTGGGGTCTTTGAGGACTTTCCTTCCTCTGAGTGAGATGAAAGCCACGAGGCGTTGAGCTGCGACAGACATCTGACTTGTGTTTCTTAACATCTTCATTAAGCTAGAATTCCCCTACCGCATAACCCGCCCCCCTCAAGTCTGCAATTCCGTGGCTTTTCCTATATGCACAGAGTCTGCAACCATCACAATCAATTTCAGGTACTTTTCATCCCTTGAAAAAGAAACCCTGGCCCTAACTGGTTTGGCTCAGTGGATAGAGCGTCGGCCTGCGGACTCAAGGGTCCCAGGTTCAATTCCGGTCAAGGGCATGTACCTTGGTTGCGGGCACATCCCCAATAGGGAGTGTGCAGGAGGCAGCTGATCGATGTTTCTCACTCACTCTTTCATTGATGTTTCTAACTCTCTATCCCTCTCCCTTCCCCTCTGTAAGAAATCAATAAAATATATTAAAAAGAAAAAAAGAAACCCTGCACCTCTTAGCCATCACCCCCCTCCCCATTCCCCCATCTCCACCCTGCCCTAGGCAACCACTAATCTACTTTCTGTCTCTGTAGATTTGCCTATTTTGGACATTTCATATAAATGGGTCACGTGACATGTGGTCCTTTGCGACTGGCTTCTTCCCTGTAGCACAACTGACATGTATTTCAGTTGGACCCTGAGGCTCTGGTGGAGGACAGACTGAGGGGCGGGGTGGAAGCAGGAAGCCAGTGAGGAGGCACCTGCCACGGTTCAGGTGGGAGATGATGGTTGGACCAGGTGGGGGCCGTGGAGGCGGACAGGAGAGGTTGGGTGTTGGATTAGTTTGAAGGCAGAACCAATGGTGTTTGTATATGGATGGGGCCTCAGGAGAGAAAAAGAGTAAAAGTTTTTGGCCTGAGCAGTTGGAAGGATGGAGCTGCCATAGCCGCGATGGGGGGGACGGGGGTTGCCGGGGGAGGAGCAGGTTGGGAGCACCAGGAGCTCAGCTCTGGGCAAGTGAGTGAGAGGCATTAGCAGGTGATCAGCGGGTATGCCGAGTCCACAGCTGGAGAGAAGGGTTCGGGCTGGGTCTGGAAACCCGGGAGCCGCTCCGTGTGGACTGTGTTCAAGTTCATGGGCATGAATGAGATGCCAGGTGAGAGGAGATGGAGGCAGCCCAGCAGGCCTGGGGGTGAGCTGGTACAGACCAGAGCTGAGATTGAAACCCTGGCATCCTGATAGGAGACAACCCCTACTGCTCCGGGCACCGCACCTTGGTCTGGGCCAAGGGGAGAGTATCAGATGGTCTGAACCTTCTAGATTCTAGGTTGGCTCTGCCTGACTCTGCTGCAGGCCTCCGGGACCCTTTTCCACTAAGGCCGCCCGAGGCTACCAGGTTATTACTCAGTATAACGTACTGACTCCGCAGTATGCGGGCTTCTGTTGCAAGGCGTGACCTGACTTGAGTTTTGAAGATGGCGGCTCTGGGGCTAAGGTGGGTGGGAGGTGGAAGGGAGAAATCCAGACAGCATTGCAGGGTCACGCACTCCTTGCCTACATCTCTCTCCGCAGATACACCAGCCCACAGCAAGGGGGGCTCCAGCAGCCCGGAGCCCTGGGCCCGACCCTCCTGCCACCCCCAGGAAAGGGGCTGCCCGCCACCCAAGGAGCGTGAGTCCTCGCCCCCTCCAGCCCTGCAGACCCTCCAGCTGCCCCGT